TACCCCCTGTCATCTGAATTAGGTGCTATACAAGAGCATTATTATTATTAAATCATGATATCGTGCTCAGACTAACATGCAGATGCCTGTCAACAGAAGATTGGTAATCTCCAGCATGGATTATTTCAAAGGCTATGTTTCGTGTCGCAGCGTCAAGACGTAGCGTAGTTATCTGACCTTGAAACTCCTTCAAAACGAATGCCGCTTTCCAAAAGTAATCTGATTTTTTATAGCTAGACAAAGCATGCTCTTTGCTGCACAATTTCAACTGGAGGGTGATTGCTGTTGCGTCGTGGCAATGCCATTTTAATCCTTTTAAGAAATCTAATCAAAATCAACATTTTCAGGTAAAGTCGATTTTTTTACTTGTGCAATTGTGTAAAATCAAGTTATAAACACATTTGTTACATATTTTGACGATTGTCTGAACATCAATAGGTAATTAGTAGATTTTTAAAAATACGAAACGCCAATGTGTTTCTTTTTTGGGATACTATGTTTTCTGTTTGGTTTTTATTGCAGCGTATTTATTTGTTTTAATGCTAGGAATATTGATTAATAATCACCAGTAGGCAGATCCATGGTGAATATGCCACCAAAGTGTCGTAATGGTCCCTAAAATGGTCCCTAGAATGTTAGCCTAACTGTGGGCGATCTACAGCTCGCAGTCCTGTTTTGTTCCATTGTATGTTTGTTTTCTGGATTGTTTAACGCAACACTGGCAATATTCGCGGTACATGGCGGCGATCTGTTAGTTTTCGAGTCTAGACCAGACAACCCTTTGACAGGGTGTGAAGCACTTTGAGTCATCCAAAATATAGGAATATAGCATTCCTAAAGATGAAAATATAGGACGAAAAGTAAAAAATATAGGATCCTTAGAAACATTAAAAACTAAAGTAATGGTCTCCTCCTCCCCTTAAAGTCAAACTTCTCCATCACGTTAACAAGAAATAAATCAAAGCACCATTAACTGTAACACAAAAACCTTAACTGTAACACAATACACTTTCTCTTGGTCTATAACGCCATTGGCATTAGAAACACACAGTCACTTCTTATGTCCCGATTTAGCTTTTATGAAACCTTTCCACGGGACCATCTATGCACTTTTCCAGAAGTATTCTTTTCTGACATTCTGTGTTTCTTTGTTTCTCTCTGATTTCTGCCAGCTGCTTGTTGAAGTTGGTGATCTGTTCAGTTGCCATTGCTATAATCATCTGAGCTGCAGTCATGTCAGCCTTCTTGCCACTACTGATGAAATTGGTCAGTTTTCTGTTGCCATCTTTGAGCAGTTCACTGACACAGTCAAGCTTATCCTTGATATCACATTCTTCCTTATTGAATAAAGATTCTTTTCCAAGCAGACTGATGTTCTTTGCTTTAATTTCTTCTTAGATTTTCTTTGTCTTTGCTTCCTCTGCTGCTCTTGTTTCTCTCTCCTTCTTTTCTCTGTCAGCCTTCTCCTTCTCTCCTGTGAGCATCCTTTGACAAACAGAGTATGCCAATTTTGTTGCTGATATGATGGACCTGGACAGAGGAACTTTCTCTGATCATTGGAGCTGGGGATCTGAAAAATTAACCATGCCTTTATTGACCTGAGGCCATTAATGATGTCCAGTTGAATTCTCTCCAGGGTGGCAATGTTGTTGACAGAGACACCCCTCTCTACATTTGCATATCTGAAAAGCTTGTTTCCGAATGGAAGTGTTGACTGCAGGAAGCTTGCCACAACCTGATAGAAAGACCTCATGCCCCAAGATGCCAGTCTCCTTTGATCATCTTTCAGGGTTTTCATCTGTTATCGAGTGTCTTCTCCTATGATGACATCACTGTCAGACACTTGGTTGGACCTTGGGGCATCACCTTTGGCTAAACCAGAAGAGGCTGAACTTTCAAGTAGGTCACTCTTGACAAATCTGAACAGCAGGGTCTTCAACAGGTTTGACATCTGCTCATACTGTGGTTTGTCGTGCTGAAAGTTGCGCATAAAGTCTGCGAACAGGGTGACCACTGAAGTTAAGAATTTAGGTCGAACAAGGGTTAATGGATTCTTCACAGCAATCTGTATTCTCTTGAAAGCTGAACTCTGTGAAGCTTTATTGTAGTTTTCGGTGTTTAATGTATACTACTCAAAAGAATCCAAGGAACAGTGGTAAGTTTGGGTCAGAAGCTTTCAGTTAATATCCTGGAAAATGTACAGAGATTGGGTGCAAAATAATGATGTCATTTGATAGAGAACTGGTAATGGTTTGAAGGTCAGATTATATTAGGACGATAAACCGATAGAATTTTGAAGGGTTTGAAGTAGGAAATTAGACATTTTCACGCATTTTTGAGTTGCAAGTTGAGGGTGTTATTCTCCCGAATTTACCCAAACTTGTTAGTGCACGTGATAGTGCAAATCTCTCTGACCATCATGCACAAATTTCCCTTATAAGCAACGTTTGGAACACAGATCAATCACATGTTGGAAACCATGACTCGCAGTTTAAGCATTGCTGACAGGGGGAGTGCTATTGGGTGGATCCAGGAGGGTATTGCCTTACGTGAAGCGGCGCGAAGACTTTGTTTCTGCAATGAATTGACCTTAACCACCAATAAAATTTGTTTTCATGGTATCATATGTGTTTTCTTTATAATAAAAACTAGGTGTTCCTTGGATTCTTTTGAGTAGTTTATATTAACATCATTTACTCTAATTCATTTATAACTGGCTTCCAGTTCATTGCTTTTGACATCCAAACTACAAAAAGTAGCATATGTTATATTTGGGAGAACAGTTTCTTAGTAAAGTACAGATTCTAGTTCTTTTTGGGTTGAGTCCCATCCTGGATTCGAACCCACACTCTCAGAATCAGGCACTTAATCGCCAGCACACAAAGTCAGTCGCCCAACCCGCTCAGTCACCCCGACTTCCACTAGATTTGTCACCTCTTACGTGTTACATCATTTTAAGTGATATCTTTTGTTATGTGTCAGTGTAATTCATTGTGATACAATATTCAAAGTGTTATACTTGGGGTAGTGGTGTGTTCTATATATGTTCTAGAGGCGTCCACTGTGTTCTGGCCCACAGAATATCATAGTGAGGTCTGGAATGTACAAGGTGCAGATTCCGCCTTTGTTCTACCTCAGAGAGTATTTTGTTGTATTTTTTAGGCTTTAGTAAGGGGAGCTACATATAGACTCTCATCACACATTACATTTCAAGTCAAAACAATACAAACATTTTGTGTGATCACTACTATATACCCCGGGTACTCTGCCCTGACCTAATATTACCATCATTGTCTTTAATGAAAATGCAACTTTATGGATGTCATTGTTTATTGATAGAGTGACGTTTCGATGTAGATTCTTACACCAAGTGACTCACCACCAACTTCTAGAATGCACATCCGGCATTGTCTTTTTTTGCTTTAATCATTGCTCTTGTATTATATTGAATTTGATCTGACACTCTAATATGCACTGTCAGAGTGATACCTATGTATTGATTTTAGAATATAATTGTTAATTACAGTATATTTCTTTGCTGTTTGTTGGTGTAACAGATTCCGAGTGAACTTTTTAACTTCAAGCTTTAACATCAAGTAACATTCTTTCTTATTGCGTACTAGTTTTTTCTTTCATCCAAATGATAAATCACTAAATCACTGTGTTGATGTTTTTCATTCATCTCCTTTCGAAAGTTGGACGGCCCCTGTCTGAGAGGCTGATGATTGTTTTGTGGGAATGTTCTTACATTTGTGTAGCTTTAACTAGGGTCACCTGTGAATCTGGCACACAAGATCGGAGAGTTAAACATGTAATAGGCAGCATTTTGGCTTTACATTTTGTCCCTTATGTACAAAGTGCACGTGGTAGCTGAAGTGTGATTTAATTGATGGTGGAGAAATTGCTTTCTACATTCATTGTCGCCAATCCAGTCAAATTTATCATTTATGCAGAAATTATTTGCAGACTTTAATGTATTAATTTGAAAAAGATATTTACTATCGTCAATAGTAACGTCACGAATTCCTGTTACACCGGTGCATCACTGCAAGCTTTGCACGATACAATGCTCAAATAATTTGTTTTAGTACTGATTCATAGTTTGATATATATATATCGATTATTATTTTGATGTTGCACCAATTTCTGCCTCTGCTCCTTGTTAAAGTCAAAGTATACCTTTCAAATCTGGGAAAATTAGTAAATTGATGTCCCTACCGTGATGTTGCTGGAATATTGCTAAAAGCGGCGTAAAACCAACTCACTCACACCAGTAATCTCTACCAAAGTATTTGGTGACTGCGAGCTATGGAATGAGATTGCAATCCAGCTAATGCCTGATTGTTAGATGGTAAATGCCGGAAATGCAGCATCACGATTCGTATTGTATCGTGACCTCTGTGAGGGCACCTGTGTCGTGACATCCCCGATTAACAATCAAAATATCATCGCTTGGCAACGTGTTGTGCGAAATTATCCGCGCATGAGATGAACTTTACCTGGAGTTTCCACATCATGTAATGCGGGTGGATATAGTCGACGTCTCATCTGTCTGTCTGACGTAAGTACGTCCGTACGTCCGTACGTCCGTAATCATTTTGTTTCCGGAATATAACTCAAAAACTGTTCAATATCTTTCAACAAAAGTTGGTATATATATCGAACAGAACCTAAAGTGGTGCCTTTTGCTATTTACAGATTTTTGTCATTTTTCTTTTTCTGTGTTGCAATGGAAACGTTTTACACGTAGTCCAGAAAAATCAAGTTGGACTTTAAGTAACTGTCATATGATTTTGTCTTTCAAATTTGTAGGGGGCCGGGGGGATTTGTCATCATCTTGTGACTCTTGTTTAATTGGCGTTTCTTTCAGAATTCTCATAATGGAGTAGGCATTTCTCCTTTTAGTTTTATGAGAGGATTGGTGAGCCACCCATATATTTTACATTCCTTTATTTACTCTTTTTCTCATTTTGCATCTATATATACTTCATATCTTTCAGTGGATGTATTCCAAGACGTGACCAAGCAGTTGCTAAGTTCTTGAAGTACGCTTCGTATGATGGCCACATCTTGTCCATGGGAATTCATGTTAGCTACCTATATGGTGCAAAACAAGAAACAGACAGTAAAAAGAAAAGACAGAAGCGAGAACACAAAGCTAATGAGCTGTTAAATAAAGTATCAGCTTTGCGCAACTCAAATTCTGGGTCAATATTGATTCATCTCGTTGGGTTAGGAAAAGGAGATCAGTTTACAGGTGCATTTGATGAGTTTGCCGACACCAAACTCAATGCATTGATTCACGATGGAAAATTCTTCTCTGACGTTTATAGGAAGCAAAGACTAAGTGATCATGAAGAATGTTGTGATTTCCATGATTTTCTTGTTCTGTTCGTGTCTGCAGCTTCAACTGTGACAACTTCCGACTTTAAAACCAAGGTAGCTCTTGATGACTGCCTCCTGGACCCTACTGCTGAAGCACTTCGGACATTTCTAAGGGAAAAGAAACAGTACAACGGTACATTCCATGCACTTCCTGGAATTGACTCTGCATCAGACTTAGCTAAAATAAGGGAAAGTAGGTCAGTCCAATTCAAAAGTCACTTTTTACAGAAAGTCAAAGAAGATGATATAGTTGATCACATTTCTCACAAACTTCGTCTCACGGAATATATAAGTGCGTTTGCCAAACTTGAAGAAGGTGGTTCTTATTTGTTTGGCATACAAGAGAAGAATGTGATCTATGGTAATTGTGGCTATGACTCTAAGGTACCAGCTCTACAGCCTGTTATAATCACTGATGAAACCAAATTCAAGGATCGACTAAAACAAAGGATAAAAGAGAATACCCTTGTTTGTGACTATGACGGTAGGGAATCAGACGATACTGACGTAGCAGAGGTACGATTTATCCCTACGAGACCGAATGTGGAGGAGACAATCCAGAGGCCTTACGGTGAGCGAGAAACTGTTGAAGAGGCGGTTGTTGTTCACGTATCCGTGAAGCCAGTGACAGGGATTGTGTTCTATGATAAACAGGGGCCACTGGCATACAGGTATGACAAAAATACCAAATCAGTCACGAGAATGAATATCACTGAATGGTTCCACTCGTTTACTAGATGTAGAGCCCCGGACACAAACTAGCACAGGACAAAACCAGATAAAGGTAAGGACATGTCTATTGCTTATTCACCCTCCTGATATCTATTTCAGCTACTCTTTTTAATATACCCAACAAATTATGGGGTGAAACTTCACATCAATACTATATTACTCACTGAAAGAAATGAAGTATTTATCTAACAAAGCTAATCTCTAGATAAACCTACTACTTTTCAGTTTTGTTAAATAAAGTCTTTAGGTGACGTAATCCTCTTTTCTGACTGTTAGGGGCTTTGTCACACCTTGACGATTTAGCCAAATTATGCCGACGAATGGAAATTTTGGCGAATATAGTGGCGTAGGTCGATTAAGATATGGGTATGTTTTGTAAGTTAAAAGCACGCTAGTATACGTCATAGTACGGCTAGGTCGTCGGAAAATTTTGTGCATGCCATGGTGTGGCCCATACGTCCTGCCATAAGCTGTAGTACCTACCTGAGGGAAGTTGATCTATACCATAAAATGTAACTGTGTAATGTCACTAACGAATTTACCTGTTTTTCAATTTAATGCTATGACATTCTCCGTTTTTAAAATGACAACGTAATGAATGTATTTCTTTGAAACGAAACCACTTTGTACTTACAATGTATATTAATGCAGACTTGTTCTCGTCACTATATGGCTGGAATAATGCCGATGTGACGTAAAGCCCAACTCAACTCAACTCAACAAATGGCATGGATTGTTATTCTGAAATGCACATAGCTGCTATAATGCATTATGAGACATGTTACAAATTTTGTTACAAATTACACCCGCATTATGAGCAGAATTATGAAGCAAATAAGAAATCAAGAGGAGCACTTTAAGTGCCATTGTCTGCACATAATGCATATTGACTCGTTTATAATACTGTGTGTTGTAGCCTTTATGGCCTTACAAACCTTTGTCATCGTATTCTGTTCATGTTGATATAGGGGCGGTGGGGTAGCCTAGTCGTTTAAGCGTTCGCTCGTCACACCGAAGACTCGGGTTCGATTCCCCACATGTGTACAATGTGTGAAACCTATTGCTGGTGTCCCCCGCCGCGATATTGCTGGAACATTGCTAAAAGCGGCGTAAAACCAAACTCACTCACTCACTCACTCATGTTAAAATATACTGAGCAGCAAAAGAATCGCCAGTTTGGAATTTTTCTACTTAGAAACGGATAACTGTAAACTCATTTAATGTTTTGATTGTATATTTTTTACAACATCTCCAACTTTACCAGAGCAAAGATCAAAACGCAACTTGATCTCGCAGATGGTACGGTGTTCTCCAGGCTGCAGCAACGTTTCCGGGCAACCAACACCACAAATGATCGCCCCCATACTGGCAGACCAAGGGTAACCACAAGACGACAAGACCACCATGTTGTGCGACAGCATGTACAGAATCCATTCGTGCAGGCGTCAGAAACAGCACGCCAGACAGTTGGAGCACACGGAAGAGCAATCAGTACTGATACAGTACGCCGACGTCTTAACAGCGGGAACTTCCATTGCTGTAGACCTTACCATGGACCTATCCTCACCCCTCGTCATTGGCGTGAACGTCTACAGTTTGCCCTACAACACCAAAACTGGCGATACAGGCAACGGAGAACTGTTCTGTTCACAGATGCGAGTCGGTACTGTGTATCAACTGCAGATGGCAGAACAAGAATATGGCAACGGCGTGGCCAGCGTTACTCAGACCAATGTGTTATGGAAAGAGACTCATGGGGAGGTGCAAGCATCATGGGGGTGGAATAGGTCTGATCCAGAAAGTGGGTCCTGTGATGTTTCAGAACCTTGGTCCAGGGAGAGGAGGCGGCATCACAGCGGTGCGCTACATCGACCAAGCTCTCAGACCCCACGTCATACCACATTTCGCACGTCACCGGAACAACATTTTTCAGCATGATAACGCCCGGGCCCATACCGCCAGAGCTACACGGGACTTCCTACAGCAGAACGGTGTCAACATTATGCAGTGACCAGCCTAGTCTGTCGTACAGACCCTGAAGCAAATATATCCAAGAAAGCCCACACAAGTCTAGAAAATGTGGCAAGTCTAGATTTCCTCAGCTTCAGGGTCTGTACCAATCTGCTGAGTTCACAAGCCAGAATATGGCTTGTAATTATCGATTGGTCTCTAGCTGTCACTAGTGTTTAATATTAACTCATGGGGAGCCTCCCCCACCACTCCCCAAGACCCCACGCTGAGCCAAGACCTCCTGCTTCTGCCCTGTCCTCTCACTCCAGACAAACAGCGTGTGTGATTACACTAAAGACCTGATGACTTACAAATGCTGAGTATTTTCTGTAACTGTTTCATTTTACACTGGCGAGGAAAGGGGATCATTCCGAAAACATTTCCATCTCAGGGTAAACATGAATTGGAACTTTGATGAGGATGAAAGCAAATATGCATAGCATTTGTCCAAATCAGAATACAATGATTGAAAAGTACTTAAGTGGTGAAGATATGTTGTTTTGTTCTCCATCCAGGAGTGGAAAATCACTGACATTCGAAATTCTCCCCTATTCAGAGAAGTCAGTAGAATACAAGCCATGCTACTGTTATTGTTGTGTCGTCCTTGATTTGCATGATGAAGAGACAAACAGAGAAATATAAATCATTAGGCTCAAAGCGGTGTACCTCAATGATGTAGGCATTTGTGACTTTATCCATAAACTTTGAAAAGACATTGTCATGGGGATCTGATGGCATATTGAATATGGAAACAAGTTCCGCCCTTCCTTCCGTGCGTCCGTCACAGTTTGTCCGAAGCATATCTCCTCAACTATTTGTGATAGCTTAACCAAACTTGGTACACATGTCAAGCATGATCCTAAAATGTGCCTTTAGGGGGTTAGACCCAGATATGAATGTTATTTTTTTGTTGTTTCCATGGAAACATGACTTAGGCTGTGACTATGAGAATGACATCTTGTCCGAAGCAAATCTCCAAAATTATAGATGCTAGCTTCATCAAACTTGGTACACATATCAAGCATGATCCTAAAATGTGCCATGTGAGGGTAAGACCCAGATATGGATTTAATTTTGCGGTTTCCATGGAAACGCAACTTGATACACATGGTAAACTTGGTACACATATCAAGCATGATCCATAAATGTGCCATTTGATGGTTAGACACAGATATGAATTGTATATTTTTGCTGTTTCCATGGAAACTTGACTTAGGCTGTGACTATGAGGATGTCATCGTGTCCGGAGCAGATCTTCCAATCTATACATGCAAGCTTCATCAAACTTGGAACATATGTCAAGTATGATCCATAGATGTGCCTTTTGGGGTTTAGACCCAGATATGAATTTTATTTTTCCGTGGAAACATGACTTTCCATGGAGGCTGTGGCTATGAGGATGTCATCTTGTCCAGAACAGAACTTTAAAACCTTTGAATATTTCTTCACCAAACTTGGCACATAGATAGGTCTGGTGATATACTGGTGCCTTTTGGTAGTTTGAAATTTCTGAATAAAACACATTTTGTGTTTCCATGGCAACAAGTTTGACATGACTGAAATTGGTGGTAGTGCTCTTTTCTGGAGCAGAATATAAAAACCTTTCAATACTCCCCTTCCACTTTGTAATATAGTCACAGACTTGGTTGACACATATCATTGCATCCCATTTATGTAGATCGATGCTCATGCTGTTGATCACTGGATTATCGTGTCCAGATTCTATTATTTACAGACAGCTGGAATATTGCTGAGTGTGGCATAAAACTAAACTCACTCACTCACTGCTATATACACACCAAAACATTTTACATAGTCATAACTAACTGACATATACATGAAGAGTATTTTGCCATTGCCAGTGATATTGATGACTTTTTCTGCTTGTTGAATTATATATATATATATGGGACATCAATTAAACTTCCACATATAGTGCAGACACAACCTTTGGATTTTGGAGAATATAAATAACTTTGGATATTTTTTTGTGAGATCCAGTTGTCCAGCCATAGGCATATCAAGAGATGCTACCCTTAGCTGGTATCCCTGCTTGCTCTCAAAATAGATTTGGCGAGACTTGATACTCATTACCCCAAATCGGCCCACACCACTGGCAGTAGGACTGGGAGGCGATGGGTACAGTAAATATATTCCTGTCACACACAATTAAAGCAGTGATGGGTGATAAGAATCTTTGCATGTGTTGTGAAATTCCAAGAAATTATCCCTCTGCAGATTTGTTTTGTCTCTGAAAATGAAGAAAGTCTCAGGGCTCCTTTTCATTATATTTTATATTTTTTTACTATGAACTCTTTTCAGTAAAATATGTTCATTTCAGAGACTAGTTGTTAGTCTATGACCAGCCCTTAGTCCTGATTTAAACCAAATTGAACATCTTTGGAATGAAATTCAGAGGAGACTGAATAATGTCATACCAAGGCCGAAACAGCCGATTTATTGCGCCAGGCCTTCTCAGAGTGTGATTCCAGGTGCCAATGGCCCTCATCAATCGATTAGTAACTTCATGCATAGACGCTGTGCTGCAGTTACTGCCTGTCGTCGTGGTCACACTAAATACTGAAGTAAAAAATCTGAATGGACTGCAAACGTTCACGTAATGTCTTGAATTCAGCTGAGTTATTCATTGATGTGTCAAGATATTGTACACACAACATGTTTTTGATCCGCTTATTATGTCAATTTCTTAAATGATTTGATTACAGTACCTAATTTTGAATTCGTACTGACGTATGCATCATGCGTCAAACCAACACATTGCTGGTACTGCCTTACTTCGCAAGACTCGTTATTATTCAAAAACGTGGAACTCACTGATAGTACAGAAATAGTATTGGAGCCGAATAATTATGTACTCGATTCACAAATAATTGGTATTTTGTTTTTCATCAAATATTATTAGAGATGTAATTTTGATGCCCTAAAAATTTGTTTTTACTTATAATTTATCATATTCCTTTGGGCACCCTTGAAGAGCAACCTCCTCGTGGTGGGTGCTGGGTAACGACAATGGCTCTTCGC